GCGAATACTATGCGCGCCATAAAAAAGAATGGTTCATTTCCTTTGCAGGGACATGGATAAAAGCTGGAAACCTCATTCTAAGCAAACTATCACAAGGACAGAAAACCAAACACCGCATGTTCTCACTCATAGGTGGGGGTTGAACAATGAGAACACATGGACACAGGGAGGGAACACCACACGCTGGGTCCGGTTTGGGGGTGGGGGCCAGGTGGAGGAAGCATTAGGAGAAATATCTAAGTAAAATGAAAAGGTGAGGGATGCAGCAAACCAACATGGCACATGTATAACCATGTAACAAAACCTGCGATGTTATGCACATGTACCCTAGAACTTAAAAGTATAATAAAAAATATATATATATACAGAATCAGTTATATTAGAAGTATTTAGTGGGAAAATGAGAATCCAAAGATGGTTGGTATAAGATCAACAGAAATTAGAGTTTTTTTTTTTTAACAAATCAGCAACAATTAATTTAAAATCTTATAAAAATAGTAACAATAGCAAATAAAAGCATAAAGAAAGTAAAAATAATCCCAATAAGAAACAAAAAGATATCAATTTTCAGAGGCTTGAAGTATTCATCTATAAAATTGGGAATACACATGGTCCTGGATTTTTGATGGTTTAACTTACAATTTATCAACTTTACAATGGTTCAAAAGTGATGTGAATTCAGTAGAAGCCATACTTTGAGTACACATAAAATCCTTCATTCACTTCCAGTACAGTAAAAGTCCACGAGATAGTCAATACCTTATTATAAAATAGGCCATGTATTAGATGATTTTGCCCAACTACAGGCTAATGTAGTGTTCTGGGCATGTTTAAGGTAGTTTAAGTCAAGCTATGATTTTTGGTAGGTTACGTGTATTAAATGCATTCCCAACTTATGACATTTTCATCTTGCAATGTATTTATCATGATATAACCCCATCATAAGTCAAGGAATATCTGTATATCCTTCTCCTTCTTTTTAAAATAATTTGGAGGAGGACTGAATAATTTGTGTGCTGCATCCTAAGTGCATGCGGAATGGTGATCAGATTAAAATGCTTCATTCATAAAAGACTGAGAAATTGTTCCCCTCATACTCATTGGTTTTCTGAGTGTAGATTCAGAACTTCCTTGCACCCAAGAAAAGCAATAAATGCCGAAGAAGAGTGTTCACAGGTATTGGGGTGGAGAAGTGGGAGCCTTTCTGGGAGCGTGTTACGGGGGAGAAGTGGGAGGTGGGACACACATGTGGCTACCTCCTCAAGCAAGTATGGACATGGTCTCATTCCTGCGCAGCCCTGGGATATGGGAGTGTGGTCCCATTCCATGCAGACCTGAGATTAGGATGAATCACTGAGGCCTGGGACTGAGCCCTGAGTGCCACCATCACTGCTGGGCTGCAGAAATCATTCAGGTGGCTGCATGGAGGACAGAAGGCATGGTATCCCCACCCACAAATGGACTATGTGGATTCATGATGCCCATGTGTTCTTCCAAATGGTGTCTGTAACTCCCCATACCCCTGCACCATCTCAGGGAGGAGAGCAGGTGGCCCCTCCCATCAAACAAAGAAAGCACATCTTGAGATTGAATTTTCCAATATTCAGGCAAGTGGGGGCTCAGAGCCAGAGTTCATTTGATTTACAAAAATACAGAAATGTGATATTTCTTGGAACCAGAGCAGAGGAAACACATATAAACACATTCACGATTTATTACATACACTTAAATCATCTTTGTTCAGCTCAGGGGTGGGGTGGCTGGGAGCATGAACTTCAGATCCAGGAAGATGGGTTTGGATCCAGCCTCTGCCACTTGCTCTCTAGAATAATACTCAAAACATTTCACTCCTCCAAGCTTCAGTGTCCTTATAAAAAAATGGAGAAAACAATACTGGTCCCATGTCATTGTGTGAAGATTGAATAGGACATAATAAGCCATATTAGAATTGCTTGTCAAGGTGTGTGGCGCATGATATGTGCTCGGTCAATAGCCTCTGTGTTTAGTAACAGCTCTGGTAGTAATTTTGCTAGCTGGGGGGATGGTAATAATTGTGACGGCAACAAGTATTTCATCCCCATTTTATAGATGAAGACATAAGCTCAAGGAAAAAAATCCCCAAGAGTCACCAGTTACCTTGCCTACCCCATGACACATCCTAAGATCTGACCCACGTTAATTTTAATGATTATCTGGGTGAATGGATTAATGGAAGGGGAAAGTGGAGCCGGTGGTGTGGGGGGACGGGGTGGTGAAAGTGCCTACTTAAGTCTGAAGTGGGGTGCAGAGTCGTTCATCAGCAGAAAGTTACTTGGATCACGTCTGCAGTGGGGGGCTCTTCCCTAGAGGCCTAGGCCGGCTGTCTTCAGGTCAGGGGCCTGAGTTGGCATCCAAAGACTCAAAGGAATGAATTGTACATGTCAGTCACAGGGTTGGCTTGGACACCACCGTGCTGGGGCACCACTGGGCCCTCTGACCACCTGGAGAACCCGACCAGGCCTGCCACAGAGACCTCAGAGTGCCACAGAATCTCCACTGCGGCCTTACCTCTGCACAGTCAGGGCTTCTTTGAAGTCTGCCTCTCTCTGTCATCATGCTTGGCCAGGACTGCTCATCCTGATGGCACTGGGCACGCAGTGGGCTGCAGAGGGAGAGCTAGGGCACCTGGAGGCAGGCATTCTGTGTGACTTCGGAGGGTCCTTCTACCCCACGACCTCACTGCTGCCATCTGTAAGTGAAGGAACTGGACCAGATGGGGAATAAGGAGGGCTCCATCTCATGCTGAAGGCCAAGGCTAGGAGTGGCTGCCTGGGGTGCAGTGCTGGGAGGGTTTGCAAGGGAAGTGTCAAGGCTGGCCAGTGATTTGGGGGAAGAGTCAGGGCCCATCAGGGGAATGAAGTGGTTAAGGATGCCTTCAGCCCTAATAGCCACAAGTGAATTCTGTTGAAAGGGAGTTCCAGCATCTCACAGACCAAGCGGATACTGGGGATGGAAACCGAAGGCCAGACAGGATCCTCCCTGTCCTGTGGCATAAATGCCTCTCAGAACTCACAGATGGTCAGTCGGTTGTACAGGCAGTTCCTGTCATTCCACCGCCCGTCTGTGTACATCTCCACACACTGCTCGGTTCCCCGACCCGCGGGCTCCCCTGGGTACCAGTTGGTGTAGTTTACAGGGGTCCCATCTGAGTAGCGGAAGTCTCCAGGGCTTGGACCTTCAATCAGGCCCACATAGGCATACGTGTTGTACTTCTTCACGAAGCTTGCAACGGCCTCGTTTTCCTCTGGACTCCTCACGACAACAATGTGGCCGCCTGCTTTGGGGCATGCCTCCCGAAAGGCATCAAAAGTGGCAGACTGCCATTGGTGGAGAAGACCTTCTCTCCTACTGCCAGTATGGACCCCTGTAGACTAAGGGCTGGGAGCAGAGGAGTCCGGGTCAGGCCATTGACTGTTTTGTCTCTAAGCCACCTCTCTCACCTGCGCTCTCTGCCACCAGACTTTCCCCAGCCTCTCCATCTCTGCCTCTCTGTGTCTTCTCTTCCTCTTCCAATTGCAATTTTCTAAATTCTCTTCTAGGCTCTCATCCATGTACTCATTCATCTATTTAACAATTACTTATTGCCAGAAATGGTGCAATTTTCTGGGATTCAATAGAAAGCAAGAATAGGCAAAGACCTTGCTTTCCTAAGCCATTAGGAGTGGATTGTGTACACTTCTGTCGCCTCTGGGCCATTCCGAAATATCAGGAATCATCATTCCTTTCTGAAGACCTGAATGTCCACACACTTCTCTGCATCAAAAGGATATGAAAATTGTAAATATATATGTACACAACGCCAGAACACCAAGATAAAAGCAAATATTCTTAGATGTAAAAGAAGAGACAGACTCCAATACAATAATAATTGGGGACTTCAACAGTTTACTGTCTGCATTGTTAGATCATTTAGACAGAACATCAACAAAAAAAAGTTGGCTTAAACTGTGTTGCAGACCAAATGGACCTAATAGACATTTGCGGAACATTTCATCTGAGAGCTACAGAATACCCATTCTTCTTATTAGCACATGGAACATTCTCTAGGATACACCATTTTAGGCTACAAAGTAAGTATCAATGAATAAAAATATTAAAATGATATCAAGAACCTTTTCTGACCACAATGGCGTAGGAAGGAAATTTTAAAATTTCTCGAAACAAATGAAAATAGAAACACAACATACCAAAACCTATGGTAGACAAAAAAAGCAGTAGTAAGAGGGAAATTTATAACATTACATGCCTACATCAGAAAAGTAGAAAGATTTCAGATAAAAACCTAAAATTCATCTTAAGAAACTAGAAAAGCAAGAAAAAAGCCAAACCCCAAATTAGTAGAAAGAGAGAAATTTTTAAATTTGGAGCAGAGGCTGGGTGCAGTTGCTCACACCTGTAATCCCAGCACTTTGGGAGGCAGAGGTGAGTGGATCACCTGATGTCAGGAGTTTGAGACCAGTCTGACCATTTTGAAACCCCATAGCTACTAAAAATACAAAAAAATTAGCTGGACGTGGTGGTGGACGCCTGTAATCCCAGCTACTCGAGAGACTGAAGCAGGAGAATTGCTTGAATCCGGTAAGCAGAGGTTACTGTGAACCAAGATCGCACCATTGTACTCTAGTCTGGGCAACAGAGTGAGACCGTCTCAAAAAAAAAAAAAAAAAAAAAAAAAGCAGAAATAAGCAAAAAGTAGACTAAAAAAGCAGCACAAAATACCAACAAAATGAAAAGTTGGGGAATTTTTTGTTTGTTTGTTTGAGACAAGATCTTGTTCTGTCACCCAGGATGGAGTGCAGTGGCATTTTGTCCGGAATTGGTGGGTTCTTGATCTCTCTGACTTCAAGAATGAAGCCATGAACCCTCACGGTGAGTGTTACAGCTTTTAAAGATGGTGTGTCTGGAGTTTGTTCCTTCAGATGTTCAGATGTGCCCAGAGTTTCTTCCTTCTGGTGGGTTCGTGGTCTCACTGACTTCAGGAGTGAAGCTGCAGACCTCTGAGGTGAGTGGTACAGCTCTTAAAAGCAGTGTCTGGAGTTGTTGGTTCCTTCAGGTGGGTTCGCAGTCTCGCTGGCCTCAGGAGTGAGGCTGCAGACCTTTGCAGTGAGTGTTACAGCTCATAAAGGCCGCACGGACCCAAAGAGTGAGCAGCAGCAAGATTTATTGTGAAGAGCTAAAGAACAAAGCTTCCACAGTGTGGAAGGGGACCTGAATTGCCATTACTGGCTCAGGCAGCCTGCTTGTATTGCCTTATCTGGCCCCACCCACATCCTGCTGATTGGTCCATTTTACAGAGAGCTGATCCGTCTGTTTTACAGAGCGCTGATTGGTCCGTTTTGGCAGAGTGCTGACTGGTGAGTTTATAATCCTTTAGTTAGACATAAAAGTTCTCCAAGTCCCCAGATTAGCTAGACACAGAGCGCTGATTGGTGCATTTACAAACCTTTAGCTAGACACAGAGTGCTGATTGGTGCATTTACAAAGCTTTAGCTAGACACAGAGTGCTGATTGGTGCATTTACAAACTTTTAGCTAGACACAGAGTGCTGACTAGTGCGTTTACAAACATTTAGCTAGACAGAGAAGTTCTGGGAGCCCCTACCCATCCCGGAAGCCCAGCCAGCTCACCTCTCACTGGCACTCTTCCCAGGACTTTGTGGCACCTAGCCCGGGCACACTGGCAGCCCAGAAGGAGCTCGTCCCTCCATCAAGCCCAGCCCATGCCCACCCGGAACCCGCGCCTGCCTGCACGCGCGGCGCGCAGCACCGGCTCCCGCCTGTGCCTCTCCCTCCACACCTCCACACGAACAGAGGGAGCCAGCTCTGGCCTTGGCCAGCCCCAGAGAGGGGCCCCCACAGCGCAGCGGTGGGTTGAAAGGCTCCTGGAGCGCGGTTAGAGCAGACGCCGAGGCTGAGGAGGTGGCGAGAGCCAGCGAGGGCTGCTAACACATTGTCACCTCTCAGCATGATCATGGCTAACTGCAGCCTTCAACTCCTGTGCTCAAGTGATCCTCTTGCCTCAGTCTTCTGAGTAGCTGGAACTACAGGCATGTGTCATCACACCAGGCTAAGATTTTTTTTTTTTAGCTTTTCAAAGACAAGTTTTTGCTGTATTTCCCAGGCTCGTTTCAAACTCCTGGCCTCAAGTGATCCTTCTGCTTCAGCCTCAGTGCTGAAATTACATGTATGAGCCACCATGCCCTGCTGAAAAGTTGGGTTTTTGAACAAATAAACATAATTGACAAACCATTAGCTAGAAAAGTAAGAAAAAAAGAGAAGACCTATATAAAAATCAGAAACAAGAAAGGAGACATTATATAACTGATATCACAGAAAGACAAAGGATCATTAAAGACCTTTATAAACAACTGTTTATAAACAAAAATAAATTATCTCACCCCAGGTAGACTGGCTTTTATCAATAAGACAAAAAAGAATAAATACCGGTGCGGGTGCAGAGAAAAGGGAACTCTTATACACTTTTGGTGGAAATGGAAAGTACTACAGCCATTGTGGAGAACAAAATGAAGCCTTCTCGAAAACCTAAAACTAGAACTATCATATGACCTAGCAACCCCACTACTGGGTATTCAAAGAAAAGGAATCCAGTATGTTAAAGAGGTATCTGTCCTCCTGTGTTTATTGCAGAGCTATTCATAATAGCCAAGATATAGAATCAACCTAAGTGTCTATCAGTGAATGAATGGATTTTTTAAAAATGTAGTAACTAAACACAATGGAATACAGTTCATCCATAGGAAAGAATAAAATTCTGCCATTCATGGCAACATAGATGAACCATTATGTTAAGTGAAATACAGCCAGGAAAAGAAAATTAAACACAACATGTTCTCACTCATTTGTGGATGCTAAGAAAACTTTGCTAATATCATAGAAGTAAACATAGAACAGTAAGCAAACAGTAGAACAGAATATATTAGAGGCTGGGAAGATTAAGGGGAATGAGAAATGGGAAAGGTGGGGCAATGGGTACAAAATTACAGCTAGATAGGACAAATGAGTTGTAGCCTTCTTTAGCACTGTAGGGTGACCATAGCCAACCAAAAAATTATTGTATACTTGAGCGAATTTTGAATGTTATCAACACAGAACAATGGTAAGTTTTTGAGGTGATGGATATGCTGCTTACCTTGATTTCATCATTGTGCATTACATACATGTGTCAAAATAGTCCACTGTGCCCATACATATGTAAAATAATTGTGTCAAAAATAACATTTTTTAAATTAAAAAGACAGTAAAGAATACATTACCAGAAGTAAAAACAAACAAACTCCAAGAAAAGACTATAATTACAATTATATCCCTAAGTGTCAATCTGAAAAGATGGCTGGGATATATAAAAGAAAACACTAATTGTAGAAGAGTATATGCAGTATGATCTTATTGGTGCAAAGTAAGAGAATGTGTGTTTGTGTGTCTGCACGTGTGTGTTCCTTAGCCTATTTCTTTGAAGACAGTTGCTGCTACCTGCCAGTTTCAGTTCCTCCAAGGTACAGAATGGGAAAACCTCTCTTCCTCTCCTCAAAACCTCAGTAAAGCGTGATGTGTTTCTCTGGGGTTTGGAAACTTCAAAATGTTCAGGGGAGAAAGAAGGGTGACAGGGCTGCATTGGCAAAAATGGAAATAAAAACAAGTAATATGATTTTTAAGGCAAATTGGATGCTATTTCTAGGCAACAGAAAGATATTTATTGTGTTATTCTTTTTAAGAATAAAATGGCATTATTAGAGAGGCATCAATGTAATATACATGTGTGTAAATATACAGCACACAACATATGTGTGTGTACATATGTATATAATGCATACACACATATTTGCTTAGTTTACTGGCAGCCTCAGGAAAGAAAAGCCTCAACTTTCATCCCCTTCATGTGACTGAGCTGTCCCTTAGATTCTGACATTATAAGTGATCTTGAAATATATCCATGACTAGTAAATTAATTTGTGCATTCCCTTGTCTTCAGGTACAGGTAGAACAAGCATGTTCCTCTGACTCTGGGAAGGTTCTAGCAGAGGACTGAGCTGGAAAAAGGATTTCTAGACAATTTTGGCAATCCATCTAATCCCTGTCAGCCTCAGTTGATTGAAGTATGGAATGGGGATTTACTCTCTGTACAGCTCATAGAGTGCTGTGATGATCCAAAGTGACAGAAAGAACCAGCAGTCACAAACAGACTCCTCCTACTGCTAGCACCCAGGGCAGCTGGAAAAGGGGTCAGGGGAAGGGTCCCGTGAGCACTAAGAGAGAGGCCTCAAATATGCAGAGAAGCCCATGCACTGTCCTTAGGGCATGTGCATGGCCTCCACTCTGCACCCCTTTGAAACAGGAGAGTCCCCTGATCCCCCTCACAGGATGTGTGGCAGGGGTGTGGATCACCTGTTTGGTTGCCCCACTGCTCAAACCCCTAGTGGGAGCATGCAGATGGTCAGGTGCAGAGGCTGGGGTGAGTGCTCTGTGGTCCAGCCCCACGGTAGTGTCTAGGGATGGGTGCCTGTAACTTGTGTTACAAAGCTCTTTCAGCTTTGCAAACACAGGTGGCTTAAGTGTTAATCAGCCCTATGGACCCTCTGCCTTATCATAAGGGCAGAGGGCCAGTGTGACAGCTTTCTGCATCCCAAGCTTTCACCCAGCATCCTGGAAGAATCAGATCACATATGGGCTTGAAGGATG